ATTGAGGCAAGACTGTCAAAATGACATACATCTTCCACCAAAATACAAGGCATAGGGTATAGTAAATTGTAGTGAAATTGCAGAAGAAATTCTAATTGAAGGGGTCCAGCAAAGAGTAAAGGTGTTTGTCATGGAGACTGCAGTAACATTAATGTAAGGACCTACTGTGTTCTCAGTCCTCTATGTGGAAGATGCCTACACTGTAGATGGCGGGCACCATTGTGATCGCTGACTGTCCCCAGCCTCTTTGTCTATTCCAAGGAGCCCGTCAGCTTCTCCATCCTTGTGATTGGAGTCAGCCAGTGCCTAAGGGGAAAGTGGCCCAAATGCTGAATTTATGCCCCATCCTTCTCTCCTCTCCTCCATCATAGCCCTGCAGTTTCCTCTTTCTTTAATATCTTTCTGGTACCTTCCAATACATAGTCATTACTTTTTCATTCAAGTTTTTAAGCTCTTCTTACTTTTTATAGGCTAGGGTATTTTCCTCTATTTTTTATTCATTCTTCACAGATATTACTTTAAAATATAAACATGTTTGTTGCTTTTTCTGATTGTGAAGATAATATATTCATCTTGGCAAATCCAACATAACAGAAAATAATTAGAGTTAAATTCACTTGAAATCCTACCATCCCAAAATGGATACTGTTAACTATTTGGCACATAACCTTTTGTATATCTATGCCTTTTCATTGTTTGTCTTATTCTTATTTTTCATAAATAAGATCACACTCTATGTCCTGGTTTGTAAGCTACTTTTTAATTTAATAATGTGCTTTTAGTGACTTTAGTTTTGATAAATATAAAGCTAAATTATTCTTTTTTTTTTTTTTTTTTTTTTTTGAGACAGAGTTTGACTCTATCCCCCAGGCTGGAGTGCAGTGTGGCGATCTCGGTTCACTGCAACCTCCGCTTCCCGGGTTCAAGTGATTCTCATGCCTCAGCCTCCCAAGTAGCTGTGATTACAGGCACGCGCCACCACGCCTGGCTAATTTGTGTGTTTTTAGTAGAGACAGGGTTTCGCCGTGTTGGCCAGGCTAGTCTCAAATTCCTGACCTCAGGTGATCCACTGGCCTCAGGCTCCCAAAGTGTTGGGATTACAAGTGTGAGCCACCACACTCGGCCCCTAAATTATTCTTTTGAATTGGCTGCATGGTGTTTCATTATATAAATGCACCTTAATTTTAGTAGTCCCCTAATAATGTTCAATTTGTTTGTCTGTAATGTTTTTCTATTAGAATCAATGTTGGAATCAGTATACTTGTAAATACGTATTGTGTGCTTTTCTGAGTACTTGCTTTCTTAGGATAAAACTAAAAGTAGAACAATTGGCTCAACATGTTTGTTCTTTGTAAAACTTTTCTTGAAGTATAATATGCATGCTTAAAAGTACACCAATAATAAGTGTATGTTTTGATGAATTTTCACAGAGTGAATATTCTTGTGCAACCAACATCCAGATCAAGAAATAGAATATTACCATCACACCAGTCTCTTTCTTTTAAATGGAGTATTTAGTCCATTAACTTTTAATGTGATTATTGATATAGTTGGGCTTACATTTGCCATTTTCCTCTTTTTCTGTCCCATGTTCTTTGTGTTACTCTTTATCTCCTTTTCTGTTTTCTTTTGGGTGAATTGGTTCTTTTATAAAAAAAATCCTATCTTAATTTATTATTGGCTTGTCACTATTCCTTTGTGTTATTTTGTAATGGTTGCTCTGAAGATGATTTTATATGTACATATCTATACATCTTTAGCTTTTCATAGTCTACTAAAAGTAATATTTCCCACTTTATGTATAAAATGTAAGAATCTTGCATGTGTCTAATTTCATTTATCCCTTTCCTGTTTTATGGATAGAGCTGTCATTTATGTGCTCATCTACATGTACTATAAACCCCACAATATAATGTTACAATTTTTGCTTTAAATTGGTGTATATTTTTAAAGAAATTAATTTTAAAATAGTGTGTTGTACATACCCACAGTTTAACACTTCTGGTGCTTATCATTTCATCTTGAGGATTAGAATTTCCATTTGTCATCATTTCACTTCTGCCCGAGGAACTTCACTTAACGTTTTTTGTAGTAACCATCTGCTGGTCAGTGATTCTCTTAGCTTTCATTTTTCTTTTTGTGGACGACAGATGTTGTGTTGGTGTCCTGTGGATACCACCAGGGACACGCACCCCCTTCTTTCATTTTTCTGAAGATGTCTTTATTTCACTTTTATTCTTGCAACATAGTTTTGTTGATGTAGAATTCTGAGTTGACAGTTTTTTTCTTTCAGCAATTCAAAGATGTTGTTACACTATCTCTGTCTTTCATTACAATCAACTGTCATTCAACAAAGGTCTGTCTTGTTATGTTTCTCTGTATTCTGTTTGGGATTCAGTGATCTCCTTGAATCTGTACATTTATTCTTTTACCAAATTTGTAAAATTGTCAGTCATTATGTCTTCAGAATTGTTTTTGCTTCATTCACTCTCTCCTCATGTATGTTAGGCCATAGTATTTTCCCGAGTCACTAAGTTGCTGTTCATTATTTTCCAACATTTTTTTTCTCTTTTTCAAATTGGATCATTTCTATTGGTCTGTCTTGAAGCTGCTATTTTTTTTGGTATTTCCAATCTGCAGTTCAGCCCATTCAGTAAATATGTTTATTTTGATAGTATATTCTCCAGTTCTGGAATTTCCATTTGATTCTTCGTTGTAGTGTCCATTTCTTTGCCATTTCCTATTTCTTCATGCTTTAGGAGTTTGTGCTTCTGTATATTTTTGAGCATTATTCTAATAGTTTATGTGTTACTTCAGACACCTGCATTGCCCAAGCGCTGGTTTCCACTGATTGACTTTTCTCTTGGGTACCGACCACATTTTCCTTTTCTTCATATGTCTAGTAAATTTGGATTGTATCTTGGCTATTGAATAGTTTATAGAGTCTTTGGATTCTGTTGTTTCTCTGAAGAGTTTTTTGGGATTTTTGTTGTTGTTGTTTTGTTTTCCAACCTTTTAGCAGGAAGTTAATGTGGTTGAATTAAAACTTCACATTCTACGTTCAGGTTTTGTAGCCTCTACTAGGCTGCTTGGAGTATTCCCCATGCCTTCAGAGTTTAGGGGTCAGCCAGAGATTTGGGCAGAGCTCCACACAGAGTTTTGTCTGTAACTTCCCTCTGTAGCTCTTTGTTCTCAGATTGTCCTCCTTATTGATGCTTCTGAGATCACCCTAAAATCTTTGTTCCAACTGTTCAGTCAGTGACACTGTGACTGCAGGTGTGTGTCTGTGTTTAGCCACCCCTTGGGGCAGAAAGCTGTAAGGGCAGGAAACTCAACCAGGAATACTCCTGTGGTTTCTGCCTGCTTTGGGTCATTCTCCAGTGCCATCAGATAGCAGTTTTTTGGTACTTTTTTCCCAGTGAGTATAAATATCTGCACAGAGTTTGATAGTAGTCATTCCACTATTATTAGAAACCCTTAAGATAAAATAAATATTTTATTCATCGAGTAATTAAGAGGGATTTTTTTTTACATTCTCTGACGTGAAATTAGGTTTTGGATGAACCTAATGGCCTCTGTCGAAGAGTCAGCATGTGCTTCTGTATCAGCCACTTTGGACAGCTCTGCATGCTACTAATGTCCACATCGGTGGTTCCTGGTAGCTTCCCTCAAAACTGGTTAACTGAGATTGGTCAGGAGCCCACCAGAGCTGGGGGGGTGGGGTGGAGAGAGGAAATGAAGTTAGGCAGGCAGCAAGCTTTAGATGCTGTGGGTGAGGCAGAGCAAGTGTCTGTTGGGGCTGGGGTTACTCTGTTGTGCACGTGGGACGTAATGAAGGGAAGCTGAAGCCGCGTCCTCACAGAGCTCTACATCTTAGCGTTGCAGAGGTATTTCCACTTTAGAAATCAGACTCGTGTTTATGTATTTAAAGCAGATCCAGGATGGATGGTATTTTCAAGTTAACGGTTTTAGGAAAAAAGAGATAGGTAAATTATTAGAGCACAGATGTGTGTGTGTTGGAAACCATACAGGTTTGAAGCCGCAGGGCTTAGGGCTGTGTCTGAATTCTGCTGCCATTGTCTCTCTGAGCTGGTAAAGCCTTTCCACGCTGCACAATTTCTCTTCTGTGAAATGAAGTCAAATAACACAGTTCCTGGCTGGGCGCGGTGGCTCAAGTCTGTAATCCCAGCACTTTGGGAGGCCGAGACGGGCGGATCACGAGGTCAGGAGATCAAGACCATCCTGGCTAACCCGGTGAAACTCCGTCTCTACTAAAAAATACAAAAAATTAGCCAGGCGAGGTGGCGGGTGCTTGTAGTCCCAGCTCCTTGGGAGGCTGAGGCAGGAGAATGGCGTGAACCCGGGAGACGGAGCCGAGATCCGGCCACTGCACTCCAGCGTCTCAAAAAAAAAAAAAAAAAAAAATCAAATAACACAGTTCCACAACAGAGGAGTAAACAAAAATGTTTGTTGAACCTGAATCCAAAAGGTTTAGTTTATATTTTCTTGATAGTAAAACAAAATAGTCCAGGCATTTTAGCACAGCTGACCTTTTCAGCCTCCTTTATTGCAACCTTAGCCCCTTCACCCACCCTCAGATTTTCCGAAGTTTCACCAGTGTTCAAGCCCAGGCCTAGGAATTTTATGGGAAATATTTGACAAACGGAGAAAAGTAGCCTTTAGCAAATTTGTTTTATCTGTCTTAAAGGATGTATTCATTAGAATAGACAATATCAAGGTTGGTAGGAAAAAGGATGGTAGCAGAAGAGAAAAAAAAAATGCAATTTCTGGGAAGCCTGCATGTTTCCAGCAATATTTGAGGACTTCAGCTCCCCTGAATGTCAGGCCCTCAAGCATGTGCTTCCGTATCAGCCACTTTGGACAGCATTTCGTGCTATCAGTCCCCCCATTGGTGGTTCCTGGTGGCTTCTCTCAAAACTGGTTAACTGAGATTGGTCAGGAGCCCATCGGAGCTGACGGGGATGGGGTGGAGAGAGGAAATGAGGCCAGATGGGCGGCAAGCTTTGGACGCTGTGGTAAGGACTTTTCACGGTCACTGTGAAGCAGATCTCAGGCAGAGAAATGATGTGATTTATTGTAGTTTACCAAGGACCACTCTGATATGGTGCAGAGGGAAGACCAGCTGGAGGTTCTTGTGTCACTCTGTGAAGTGCGGGGGCGGAGTGGGGCAGATACGGGGCCTGCACTGGAGGTTGGTGGCGGACGGATGAAAAGTGGTTGGATTCTGGATAATAAAGTAGGGCTAGCTGAGACTTGATGATAAATACGGATGTGAACTGAGAGAAAGACAGGTGTCAAGGATAACCAAAATTATCCTTGCCAAGATTTTTGTTCTGAGCTACTGAAAGAATGCAGTTGTCTGCTACTGAGATCAGGACGCCTGTGGCTGAGCAGGTTTGGGTCGGTGATCAGGAGTTCTCCTTGGGGCGTATTAACCTTGAGGGGCCTAGGAGGCACTTGGCGTGGCAGGGGGACAGGTGTCACTTCTTTGCCTAGAGCTTCCTTTGACCACCCATAGGAAGCCTTTTCAATGACTGCAGTGCAGAAACGTCCAAATGCCCAAAAGTGAACCCAAGCCCGGCCGTGTCAGACAGAAGATACTGAAGCTGTGAGCCACAGGCCTCAGAGTGGGGATGCCTTTCACTGTGAAATCACAGATTTCTAGAGCAAGAACCAAGGCATTTGTGCCAGGACCCTTTTTTTTTTTTTTTTTTTTTTTTTTTTGATATGGACCCTTGCCCTTTTGCCCGGGCTGGAGTGCAGTGGTGTGATCTTGGCTCACTGCAGCCTCCACCTCCTGGATTAAAGCAATTCTCCTACCTCAGCCTCCCAAGCAGCTGGGATTACAGGCACCTGCCGCCACACCCAGCTAATTTTTGTATTTTTAGTAGATACGGGGTTTCACCATGTTGGCCAGACTGGTCTCAAACTCCTGAGCTCAAGTGACCCGCCCGCCTCGGCCTCCCAAAGTGCTGGGATTACAGGCATGAGCCCCACGTTTGGCCTCATTTGTTTTAAGTAACTAGCTCAGCTATAATCTACCACTAACAATGATGGTGTTTTGTTTGGTATTTAAATAATTTTTGTAATGAAAAGTGTTAATCGTGACATGATTTATTTTATTGCACAGCATTAGGGTGAAAATAATGAAAATTTTCATTAAAGGAATATGTGACATAACTTCATTATATTATATACAGTGTTGTACTGATTTACCAAAACTTGTAATTTGGTAACGATACTGCATTCCTTGGGTTTGTACTCCAAAAGTCTATGATCTAAAGTGTTGAGTTGCAGACTGGTTCTGTTCAGTGAAAAATGAAATGATTACCTGAATATTGCAGCAACCTAAACTTAGAGGAACAGCTGTTCACATCCCTGGCACTTCACATTTGCCTAACATAACGCTACCACGTGTCAGAAACCATGCTTCACTCACTGCTAAAGCATGACGCAGCCATGTTATGTGTAATTACTTTTTAAAGTAATTGTGACCACGAAGTCTTACTTGTACGTGAAGACCTGACCTTTGACTGATTTCCCAGGTGAGAAAAAGTCCTGCTGGGATTTTGATAGGAATTGCATTCAACCTATGCATCCATTTGGAAGCCACTGAAATCTTCATCCTGTTGAGCCCTCCCATCCATGAACACAGACTCTCTCTCCATATTTAGATCCTCTTTGATTTCCTTTAATGCTCCATTATTTTAAAGCAAGTCCCAGACATCATGTAATTTGATCCGTAAATAGCACAGTATATGTCTTAAAACAGAAGGTCTGTCTGTCTGTGCCACACTTTCTTCCCTGGTATTTTAAAAGCAGTGGTCTCCCTGAGATGGGGATTGAAACAGATTGCTTGTAGGAGTCACTGCTTTTCTTGGCTAAAGGCTCCTCTTACCTTCAGTGAGATGGCACGACGGCACCAAATAGCCAGGGGCCCTTGGAGAGGGAGGGTGGGGGCAGCAAGGGGTCCTTCTTGTGTGGGCAGAACAGCTAGAGACCCAGGGCAGGAAAAGTGTGGAGGGGGGTGCGTACTGAGAGACGGGGCACAGTTTTCCCCTGCCCTGGCTGCGAGGTGCCTGAGGGACCTCAGTGTGTCTCATGTGTGTGTGAGCTGCAGGGCCTGTATCTGTGCAGCACACCTAATGATACCTGCCTCACAGGTGGGCTGGAGCCGTACACACAGCAGAAGGAGGGTTGTACGTTCTCAGAAAAAGTTATTTTCCCCCCACCAGGAGGAGAACTGGGAAATGAAGGAGCCCGAGAGAAGTTCAGTTTCTCCCAGCAGGGCCCAGAGGCAGGTGTCCGCAGCGGAGTACATTCGCGCTTGCGACTCTAGATGGCTCAGAGTTTCTAGCTGCCAAAGGAACAAAGCTCTCCAGAGCTGAGGCTTTCGGTGAGCCTTCTGTACAACCTAAAAATTAAAAATCCGGAGCTGAGATGGCTCAATGTAGTATTGGATCCTGAAACAGAAAAAGGCCATTGGGGAGAAACTGAGGGCATCTGAACAAAATCTGGACATCAGTGACTATCAGAGTCAGTGTTGCTCCGTCCGTGTGACGAATGTGTCTGCTAGCGTGAGACCTTCTGGTCGGGGAGCCCTGCTGTGGGTGCCTGGGAACTCTGTGCTGCTGACCAGTTGTTCTGTAAATCTAACACTGTTCTTTCAAGTCTATCAAAAATAATCTTTTAAAAAACAAAAGCTGGCTTGGGTGCAAGGGGCTCACGCCTGTAATCCCAGCACTTTGGGAGGCCAAGGTGGGCGGACCACCTGAGGTCAGGAGTTCAAGACCAGCCTAGCCAACATGATGAAACCCTGTCTCTACTAAAAATATAAACAACCTCAGTCCAGTGCAGACGGCCCAGTGACCTGACTGGCCGGCAAGGTTTGGCTCCTTGTGAGCTGTGTGAAGAAACTTCACTTCTTTGGGCCCCAGCTTCCTCATCTGTAGAATGGACACATCATTTCGACTTCCTTGTTTATGTCACAAGGATGAAGTGAGAGGCCCCTGTAGGGCCACACCTGGACACATATCCCAGTCCCGCAGTGCAGACCCACCGGGGAGCCTGCACCTGCTGTTTTGCCTGGGCAGGGACCATGTGCATGCCAGGGCTCCCCGGGAGCCTCACCTCTCACCCTCCTTCCCGCTTCTCATTCTACTCCAGCCACTCTGCAGTTCTTCCATGACCGGGAGCAACCCCACCCTCTTGCTTCTGGTGCTGGATGCTGTCCCTGTTTCCTGGAACACTCTTCACCACCGTTGCTATGCCAGCCCCTCCCAACATGCCCCACCGGGATCTCCCAGGCCTGGTTGGACCTCCTGTGCCTGTGGTTTCCTAGCATCACCACGCAGCATTATTTGTTTAACTCCCTTATTTCCTGCCAGACCCCCATCACCTTCTTCACATTGCATCCTCAGAACCCCACGTGTATCTGTGGCATATACCCAGTGGGCTCTGGATAAATACATTTGAGTGAATTCAGAAAGCAGTGAACCAGTGCACAGATGTAAACTGGAAGCCCCTGACTGTTTGGTGCTGGATGAACAGCCAGGCCGCCTGCACGCCGCCCAGTGCCCCCCATGCCCAGATTCCTGTTTCTACTCCAAGACCGTATGCCAGACTCTTTAGAGAAATTTCTCAAAGGGCCCCAAGGCCGTGTGAAAGACTGCATTGCCTGCGTTTGCTGGAGCAGAGCTCAGGAAGTCAGTACTCACTTTGTTAATGGCTTTTGATGGACAGCAGTAGATCTCAAAGTTGAGCATGCACCAGGATCATCTAGAGGGCTATGCAGACACAACCCGGGGGCCCCACCCCAGAGTTTCTGATTCAGTGGGTCTGGGGAGGGGTCTCAAGAATGTGCATCTCTACCAAGTTCCCTAAGTGCTGCTGCTGGTCTGGGGACCACACTTTGAGAACCACTGACTTCCAGGGCAGTAGGTCAGCGTGGGAAAGAGATGCATACGGAGGACGTTCCTCCGCCTCTCTCCCTGGGTGGGCAGAGCTACCGGCCTTCCCTTGTAAAGGGGAAGCAGAGAATTGTTTGGCTGCTGTTCATCAGAGGCAAAGGCACCCTCACTGAGCACTTATCTAGAATCTAGAGCTGTTAGCTGCTCTGCTGTCTAAACACTGTTGGAATTTCAGAATGGATCAGAGACTGCTGACTTGTCTTCTGATATAAAAATTTAAAATCCAAAATCAAGACTGGCCTTTGTGTTGCTGGGCCATGTTGTTTCTGTTCATTTATTCACCTGCAGACACCATGGGGCACATGGTCCCATCCTTTAACGCTTTCCTATGAATTAGCTGTGTGAGACCCACAAAGCAAGTAGCCTTGCGTTGTAAGAGAGTTTGAGCCGGTTCTAAGCAGACAAGTGACTGGCTCTCCCACTGGCTGTTTGCACAGAGCCTGAGTCTCCTGGCTTCGGTCGTGGAGTCCTTCGCACACCTTCACCTTCACTCCCTCTCCCACGAATGCCTGCTCAACCTTCGTTCATGCCGTTGTGAAACCCTCAGGAAACACCTCCTCAATCCCACACCCTGTGCTGGGAGCTGGAATGTAGAATGACGAGTAAAAGTACTGGGAGATTCAGGTTGCAACTTGCTTTTCTTTTCTCCCAGGCTGCAAATTGGCTAGATGAGCAATCATTTTGTGAACTGCTGAGACCCCAGCTGGGACTACTAAAAAGCCAAGAAAAGTAGTGACTCCTACAAGAAATCTGTTTTATTCCCCTAGAGAGACCATTGCTTTTAAAATACCCCAGAAAAGAAAGTGTAGCAGCAAGACAGAGAGGGAGAGGAAGGAAAAGAGATGCCTTGCCTTTTAAGACATATACTGTGCTATTTACAGATCAGATTACATGATGTCTGGGACTTGCTTTAAAATAGTGGAGAATTGAAAGAAATCAAAGAGGATGTGAATATGGAGAGAGACTCTGTGTTCGTGGATGGGAGGGTTCAACAGAGCAAAGATTTCAGTTGTCTCCAAGTTGATACATAGGTTTATTGTAATTCCTATCAAAATCCCAGAAGGATTTTTTTCTAGCTATAGACAAGATTATTCTAAAATTTATATGGAAAGGCAAAGGAACAAGAATAGCTAAAACAGGAGGCCAGGGGAGGAAACAAAAAAGAATAGCTAAAACATTTCTGAAAAACAGGAATTAAGTCAGAGGAACCACTCTACCAAAT